ACACACACACACACACACACACAGCTAACATCCACGTCAGTAAACGAATCTTAATTGTCTGGAAAAAAGAAACAACAACTTTACTTTAATCTGAAACAGCTCTTTATATTTCTCTAGTTGTTGTTGTTTTTTTATTTATTTCTCGCATCAAAAGTCGCAATAAGAAAAGAAATGTTCGTATGTGATACTGTCAGAATAGTCCTTATCGGGATAAAACCGCCAAATACTTAGCTTTCTCTCATTGCTCGGCACGCGTTATTCGCATATGTTTGTTTACAAGACATAGAGCAAAATCGAAAAAATGATCTTCCCAACCTTACTTTGTATGAGTTATAAAAGTTTTATTTTCTGGTTTGTGTGATTATGGCATAATGATTGTGTTGTGTGCGTTCATCATGAGATAGTGAAACTGATGTGTGTGTGGTAAGGTCTATAGAACTGAAACTAAGTGTAGTCTTTATTATTATTGTTATATAAGCATATAATCATTTCTTTTTCGTCATTTGGTGGCTCCTAAGAGAGCCGTTGTTTGCTGTTTTCTAAGCTTAGGAACTTTTCTTTTCTGCTTTCTTGGGCAGAAGAACGGCTTGAATGTTGGGCAACACACCCCCTTGAGCAATGGTAACCCCTCCGAGAAGCTTGTTCAACTCCTCGTCGTTTCTGACAGCCAACTGCAAGTGACGGGGGATGATTCTGCTCTTCTTGTTGTCACGAGCAGCGTTACCGGCCAACTCGAGGATTTCAGCACTCAGGTATTCAAGAACAGCAGCCATGTAGACTGGAGCACCAGCACCAACACGTTGAGCATAGTTGCCCTTGCGGAGAAGACGATGTATACGCCCTACGGGGAACTGTAGCCCTGCTCTGGATGAACGTGTTTTGGACTTGGTGCCCTTTGCTTTACCTTTACCGCGACCAGACATGTTTGAGAAAGTTTTCTTTTTTAATTAACTTAATTAGATTTTGCGCGAAAATACCGAAACAAACGCGTGTATCAGATTTTATAGCCCAAGCTGGACGATGGTCGGATCACAAGCCACCAATAAGATGCGGACCTGACAACAATACACAAAGACTACGAGAAGAATGCGCTCTGAATATTTATGGCTCTACCAATCAAAACCTTAGAATGTCGGTTAGTAATTTTCAATAAGTTCGGTATAAATTCGTTCTACAACATCATCCCTATATCGTTACATCTGTTCAATACTATCAAAAAAGATGCCTCCTAAACCAGCCGTAGTAGAAAAGAAAGGCGAGAAGAGAGCAGGCAAAAAGGCTGCCATCGGTGACAAGAAGAAGAGAAAGTCCAGAAGAAAGGAATCCTATACCATCTACATCTACAAAGTCATGAAGCAGGTCCATCCTGACACTGGTATTTCCAGTAAGGCCATGAGCATCATGAACTCCTTTGTCAATGATGTCTTCGAGCGCATCGCTGGTGAAGCTTCCCGACTTGCTCACTACAACAAGAAATCCACCATCACTTCTCGAGAAATCCAGACGGCTATTCGTCTTCTTCTGCCTGGTGAACTGGCCAAGCACGCAGTCAGTGAAGGCACCAAGGCTGTCACCAAGTACACCAGCAGCAAGTAAACAGTTTTGAACKGTTTGCTACACAAAAACAACGGTTCTTTTAAGAGCCACCCAAATGAATCAAAAGTCATGACTACTATGCTGTCTCGACAACAAACCATTGCAAACCAAACAGAAACAAATACATGTCACTATAACGTCATGGCAAACATCAGTATATATAACATGATTAAGATCATAGAAACTGTTTAATCCCTAGTAAAAACTGTTTAATTCTAGTACAACATAGACAACAAAACAAATGAAGCTTTAATGTGATAAGAAAACCAAAAGGAAAAAAATGAATTGCAGAAACCCGGTATTGTTTAGTAGATTGTTAGATCAACACAAACAAATATATGTCACTATAACGTCATGGCAAACAAATATATAACATGATATAACGTCATATAAAATGTTTAATCCCTCGCTAGTAAAAGCTGTTTAATTCTAGTATAACACCTCTAGATAGATAACAAAACAAAGCAAAACAAAAACAATTGAAGCCCCAATCCTTTAATGCAATAAGAAAAGCAAAACGAAAAATTGAATTGCCGAAACCCGGGATTGTTCAGTAGAGTTCCTACGAACTCTTCGGATTTGAACCAGGGACCTGAGTCTGACGCTCTCCCAACTGAGCTATTTCGACAGATGTGCAATAATTGAATTGTTTGTTTTTCTGAGATGGTCGGCGTTGTTTGGCGGTCTGTGGTCATTTTATTGTATGGGAATGTAATCACACAGGGAGTGACAAAGGTAACGCATATATGGCCATGGCTTTGTGGCATTTGATGGCTTCTAAAAAAGCCGTTGTTAGATTGAATATTTGTAGAGTGTTTAAGCTCTCTCTCCACGGATTCGGCGAGCAAGCATCATGTCCTTGGGCATGATGGTGACTC